GCTCTGTCACCCAGGCTGGAGTACCAGGGGCAAGATCTCAGCTCCTGCAACCTCCACCTCCCAGGTTCAAGCGATTCTCCTGCCTCAGCCTCCCGGGTAGCTGGGATTACAGGCATGCCACCAACATGCCTGGCTAATTTTTGTATTTTTAGCAGAAATGGGGTTTCACCATGTTGGCCAGGCTGGTCTCAAACTCCTGACCTCAGGTGATCCTCCCACCTCAGCCTCCCAAAATGCTGGGACTACAGGTATGAGCCACCATGCCTGGTGCATGGGCACATCAATTGAGTGCGTACTTTGTGCCAAGCTCTGTGCCAGGCACAGGCAATTCAACATTTATTGGAATTCATAGGCTAGAGGAGGAAGCAGTTTGCCTCTGGTCCCGTGGCCAGAGCAGCCCCAGGTGAAGGTTATGAATTATTTGCCCCATCCAATGGTGTTCCAGCAGTCTGCCACAGGGTGGGAAGGAGTCCTCACAGAACTGTGCTGTCTCCTTCCCAGGATGAGCTGGAGCACAGCCTGGGGGAGAGTGCAGCCCAGGGGGCAGCTGGAGTGGTGCTCTGGGTGAGCTGGGAAAATACAAGAACCAAGGTGAGCTTAGGCCTGGCATGAGGGTGGGGGTGGGGAAGAGGTGGGGTCATTAAGCTGACTGGGTAGACCCTGACTTACCCTTTCTACCTGCAAAGTCCTGGCTGACCAGCAGGTGAGTGTCTCAGTGCCCTAGGAGGGTCCATACATGACCAAGGTGTCCCTGATGCTCTCCTCCCCTCCCACCTAGGAATCATGTCAGGCCATCAAGGAGTATATGGACACTACCCTGGGGCCCTTCATCCTGAATGTGACCAGTGGGGCACTTCTCTGCAGTCAAGCCCTGTGCTCCAGCCATGGCCGCTGTGTCCGCCGCCCCAGCCACCCTAAAGCCCTCCTCATTCTTAACCCTGCCAGTTTCTCCATCCAGCTCACGCCTGATGGTGGACCCCTGAGCCTGCGGGGTGCCCTCTCACTTGAAGATCAGGCACAGATGGCCGTGGAGTTCAAATGTCGATGCTACCCTGGCTGGCAGGGACCGTGGTGTGAGCAGAAGAGCATGTGGTGATTGGCCACACATTGAGTTGCGCACCTTGAGAACCTAATGCACTCTGGGTCTGGCCAGGGCTTCCTCAAATACAGGCACAGTCATATAAGTCATGGTCACAGTGAAGAGTACACTCAGCCACTGTCATGGGCATATTCCCTGCACATGCATACTTACAGACTAGAACAGTGGCATAAGGAGTTTGAACTACAGCAGACACCATTCATTTCATGTCCATATGCATCCACTTGGCAAGGTCATAAACAATTCCTCCAGAGACACTGAGCCAGTCTTTGAACTGCAGCAATCACAAAGGCTGACATTCACTGAGTGCCTACTCTTTGCCAATCGCCGTGCTAAGCATTTTATGTGGACTTATTCATTCTTCACAATGAGACCATAAGGAAACTGAGTCACTCACAGTGAGGGTAAACACGTTGCCCAAGGTTGCACAACACGAAAAGGGAGAAGTTGAGATTCAAACCCAGGCTGTCTAGCTCTGGGGGTACAGCCCTTGCGCTCCTACTGAGTTTATGGTAACCAGCCCTGCACGACCCCTGAGTCTGCTGAGAGGCACCAGCCCAGCAAATAAAGCAGTCATGATTTACCTAGCTGTTTATTGAGCGCCTAAAATGTCCAGGCCCCGGTATCCAAAGGGCACAGGAAAGGCTTGTCACTCTCACCAGATTTGACGTCAGTCTAAGAGCGGCTGCTTCCCAGGGTGGGGCCCAAATTTCAGGAGGAAGCCCCACCGGATCTGACCGTTTCCAAGCTGTCCTGGGGTGGGAGGCAGGCGGGAACTGAAGCTGGACCGGTCCGAGCCTGGGGCGGGGCTGGCAGAGGCGGAGTCAACTGAAGGCGGGGCCTGCGCCTGGCTGAAGTGGTGACGTGTTGGGCCGGGGCAGGGCCTGGAAGAAGCCAAATCGAGGCGGGACCTAAGCTCTGACGCAAGGAGCAGGAGGCGGGGCCTGTATGGGGCCGAGTGGGGAGGAGGCGGGCTCAAATGGAGATGGGGTGGAGCTCAGCAGGGGCGGAGCTCAGCTCAGCAGGGTGGAGACTGAGCCTGCGCCTGGTGGGTGTTGTGACGCGTAAACGAGGGGCGGGGCCTAAGCGGCGACGCGCGGGTGCCGGGGCGACGCGCGGGTGCCGGGGCACCCCGGGAGACCTTGGAACCCCTTGGCGCGCCGCAGGACGCGACGGCTGCAGTACATCCGCCGCGTCGCTGGGGGCCAGCGCTGTCGGACCGAGGAGTCCGAGGTGGCGACTGAGTGAGATACCCAGCTGTGCGGAGCTAGGACGCGGAACATCCCGGAGGCCGGCTTCAACATGTCAGTACCGCACCCTTCCCATTTGCTGCCTGTAGGTCCACCCCGCGCATGCGGTCCCCAAGTGGCTATGCCACTCTGCACGCCCTCCCCGCGTCAGTCGTTCGTTTCTAGAGCATGCCGAGCCACACCTACCCACAGAGTCGAGCTCTCGAAGTCCCCATTCCCAAAAGCTCCACAGCCTGTTGTGACCCACTAGAAGGGAGGGGGAAACCGAGGCCCGGGAGAGACGGAGAAGCGACTCTCTGAGGACCCCGGAGCCCCGCCCCAGTGGGTGGGGTCGGCACTGAAGGGGTTAAGGCCGCGGGGAAGCCCGGGGCTCAGCCCTAGGGGCGGATCCTGGATTTCCTCCCTCCAGACCAAAGGGTGCAGCTGCTGCCGAGGTGGCTGATGCAGGTGAGGGGCTTATAGCCCTGTGAATGGGGTGGGAGGTGAGGGGAGTGGGGTGCCTGTTATTGACCAGTGTTTAATTGGCCTCAAGCTCAGGAGAGGTAGGGGAGCCAAGAGGCCCCCTCTGGAGCAGGTGAGTAGAAGGGGGGGGCCCAGCTGCCCGCCCACCACTAGAAAACCCCCAGCGTAGACCTGCCTGACAGCAGGACCTTGGTTAAGATGGGAAAACAGTAGGGTTTGGGCACAGGAGGCCTAGGCCCCCAACCTGGTGACCGTTGGACACCCTGTGTATATAGGAAGGAAGCTGTGGTCCTTATCTAGGGTGCCTGCGAAACTCAGGCCAGTGGGGAACCAAGCCTGCAGAGGCAATACTGCTGTGTGGCTGTGGACCAGGCCCAGTGCTGGTGCTGCTGGGGTCCCATCTGAGGGGACAGTTGGGTCTATATCCAAAGTGTCCTGAGATGGGCAGAGTTGGGAAGGGGGCCAGGGGCTCCAGGCAGGGAAGGCAGTCAAGACAGGCCAAAGCTCAGCCTGATGGATGCATGAGTGGGGCCCCAGGATCCACTAAGGCCGTGGGCATAGCCCAGGTAGTTGAAAAGGCTGGGAGCTGGAGGAGACTCAGAATATAGGGAGAAGAAAGGGACAGGAAGACTCCTGGGGCAGTTTTTCCTATGGAGGGAACCTTGAGGTAGGTTTGAGCAGGGGGTATAGTGTCTGCTTTGCATCTTCTATCCCATGCCCTAGTGGTGGACTGGGAGGACTACTGGAAGACAGAAGGCCAGCAGGTGGATTGGGTCGGCTGTTTTATAGACCTGGTGGTTACAGGCCCCCTGTGAGGGGAGGTCCTGAGGAAGACAAATTTGTAGCCAGAGCAGGCTGGGGCCAGAACTCCTAGGTTCTGTCCTAGCCTTAAGCAGCTCATCCATCACTCCCAGCCTCCCTCCAATGTGGGGTAGACACCTGGATCTATCTGCCCTGCTCTATAGGGGATGGGTCTCTTCCAGGTCACCTGTGCCATCAGGTGAGTGTGGGACAACGTGCAGCCCACCACTCCCCAGTTCCAGTATGCATGGTCCCCCTCGCACTCTGTCAGCCTTTCCCTGCCCCAACCCCACCCTCCCTCCTGGCACAGCCCAGCATGGCTGTTATCTACAGGAGGAGAGCCACTGTGGTCTGAAGAGATGCCACTGCCTGGAGACTGGGGTCTTAACCTCCAGCCTGGCACTGAGCCACCTGCAACCTAGCAGCAGGTGACCTTGGCTCCCAGCCTGACTCAGCTAAACCTGGATCCTGTGCATAGGCAAGAGCTGACTCTGAGCCCTGGCCCAGCCAAGCTGACCCCTACACTAGACCCTACACACCGGATGGAGCTGATCCTGAGTACCAGCCCAGCTGAGCTGACTCTGGATCCTGCGTGCCAGCCAAAGCTGCCCCTGGATTCCACACGCCAACCAGAGATGACCTTCAATCCTGGCCCAACTGAGCTTACCATGGATCCTGAACACCAGCCAGAGGAGACACCAGCTCCTAGCCTGGCTGAGTTGACCCTGGAGCCTGTGCACCGCCGACCCGAGCTCTTGGACGCTTGTGCTGACCTCATCAATGATCAGTGGCCCCGCAGCCGCGCCTCCCGCCTTCACTCCCTGGGCCAGTCCTCAGATGCCTTCCCCCTCTGCCTGATGCTGCTGAGCCCCCACCCCACATCTGAAGCAGCACCCATTGTGGTGGGCCATGCCCGCCTGTCACTGGTGCTGAACCAGCCCCAGAGCCTCTTAGTGGAGACAGTGGTGGTGGCCCGGGCCCTGAGGGGCCGTGGCTTTGGCCGCTGCCTCATGGAGGGCCTGGAGGTCTTTGCTCGGGCCCGGGGCTTCCGCAAGCTGCACCTCACCACCCATGACCAGGTGCACTTCTATACCCACCTGGGCTACCAGCTGGGCAAGCCTGTGCAGGGCCTGGTCTTCACCAGCAGACGGCTGCCTGCCACCCTGCTTAATGCCTTCCCCACAGGCCCCTCTCCCCGGCCACCCTGGAAGGCCCCAAACCTGACTGCCCAAGCTGCCCCAAGGGGTCCCAAGGGACTTCCATTGCCACCACCCCCTCCTCTACCTGAGTGCCTGACCACCTCACCCCCAGTTCCATCAGGGCCCCCTTCAAAAAGCCTGCTGGAGACACAATATCAAAATGTGAGGGGGCGCCCCATATTCTGGATGGAAAAAGACATCTGAGGCCATCCAGGGCAAGGAACTGTCTTTCTGGGTCAATAGACTGCCCTGGACAGTCTATAAGCCTCAGCCCACTGACCATACCTCAGCCCCCTAGCCCCTGGGGGGCAGCTTTAGCCTGGGCATGTTTCCTGGGTACCAGTGGGGCCAGGAGGTGGCTCTGGCTCAGAGCCGTCAGTGTGGCTGAATAAAGCCTCTGTTGGGTGTGGCTGTGACAGAGTTTATTTGTTGACCCCCCTACCCTCACCTCTCCCCTCTTCTGCAGGTCCCTTATCCCTGCAGAAGTCCCCAGATCCACCTTGGTCCTAAGGCCATTGATGGGAGGATGCCTGTCCTTCACCTTTACCCCCCACCAGGCTCAGGAGACAGGGTGGCTGTTCTCTTCCCCATTCACTCACTCATTACCATTCACTGAGCGCCTACTGTGTGTCAAGCCCTGGACAGGACATAGGCAGTGGGTAACTAGACAAACAGGCATACAGTAGCAGGATCCATATGGCACAGGGGAGGTACACAGGCTTTGGGAACCCAAGTGACTTCACTCCACCTGGGGATCCAGGAGACCTCCCAGGGCAATGATGTCACAGCAGAGACCTGAGTGCTAGGTAGGAATTAAACCAGGCAGGTAAGGAGGTGGGAGCTGAGTGTTCTTGGAAGAGGGAACAAGGTGGACAGAGGAAAAAAGGGGACTTGTGACAGCCGTGGGAGGACACAGTGGTGTATTGACAAAGATGGTGAATATGGGAAGGAATGTACCCTCAGCTCACTGTAAAGCCCGCTTTGGTGTGCACCTGCCACTCGATGCCCGGGGCATCATAGCCAGCTTGTGGTGTGGCTGTTTTAAAAGGCCCAAGAGACCCCTGGGGAAACATGCTTTCCCCAGCTCTTCCTGTAAGGATGGAAAGGAGCTGGGGGAGCTTTCCTGGCTTTCCCTGCTGTGTGGAAAGTGTGGTCATAGCTATGGACTCTAAGCTCACACCCCCCCCTCTCCTGCAGGTTTCCATCCTTGGGGCATGACCACGCAACTAGGCCCAGCCCTGGTGCTGGGGGTGGCCCTGTGCCTGGGTTGTGGCCAGCCCCTGCCACAGGTCCCTGAACACCCCTTCTCTGTGCTGTGGAATGTACCCTCAGCACACTGTAAGGCCCGCTTTGGTGTGCACCTGCCACTCAATGCCCTGGGCATCATAGCCAACCGTGACCAGCATTTCCACGGTCAGAACATGACCATTTTCTACAAGAACCAACTCGGCCTCTATCCCTACTTTGGGCCCAGGGGCACAGCTCACAATGGGGGCATCCCCCAGGCTTTGCCCCTTGACCGCCACCTGGCACTGGCTGCCTACCAGATCCATCACAGCCTGAGACCCAGCTTTGCTGGCCCAGCAGTGCTGGATTGGGAGGAGTGGTGTCCACTCTGGGCTGGGAACTGGGGCCGCCGCCGGGCCTATCAGGCAGCCTCTTGGGCTTGGGCACAGCAGGTATTCCCTGACCTGGACCCTCAGGAGCAGCTCTACAAGGCCTATATTGGCTTTGAGCAGGCGGCCCGTGCACTGATGGAGGATACGCTGCGGATGGGCCAGGCACTGCGGCCCCATGGACTCTGGGGCTTCTATCGCTACCCAGCCTGCGGCAATGGCTGGCATAGTATGGTTTCCAACTATACCGGCCGCTGCCATGCAGCCACCCTGGCCCGCAACACTCAACTGCATTGGCTCTGGGCCGCCTCCAGTGCCCTCTTCCCCAGCATCTACCTCCCACCCAGGCTGCCGCCTGCCCACCACCAGGCCTTTGTCCGACATCGCCTGGAGGAGGCCTTCCGTGTGGCCCTTGTTGGGCACCGACATCCCCTGCCTGTCCTGGCCTATGTCCGCCTCACACACCGGAGATCTGGGAGGTTCCTGTCCCAGGTAAGTGGAAGCTGAGGGCTAGGGGTCTTAGTCAGGAGGTATGGCCCTGTTCTAGGAAGGTCCCAGGAGAAGATCTTGCCTAGGGGTTGGTCCTAATCTAGGGGTTCTGAGTGGAAGGCCCTGTCCTGGAGTACCTGATGAGGGAGGCATGGCTCTGCCCTGGAAGATGTTGAGGGGTAGGGAAGCCCAGCCTTTGGAGTGCTGGTCTGAGGGGAGATATTCTGAGTGGAAGGCCTGAGAAGTCACTCAGAGACTCGATACAAAGGGGCCCTACTCGGGCTGGGTGAGTGGCTCACACCTATAATCCCAGTACTTTGGGAGCCTGAGATGGAAGGATTCCTTGAGGCCAAGAGTTTGAGACCAGCCTGGGCAACAGTGAGACCCTAGTCTCTACCAAAAAAAAAAAAAATTGAGACAGAGTCTTGCTCTGTTGCCCAGGCTGGAGTGTAGTTGCACGATCTCAGCTCACTGCAGCCTCCACTTCCTGGTTCAAGTGATCCTCCCACCTAAGCCTCCTCCCGAGTAGCTGGACTACAGGTGCATACTACCACACCCACCTAATTTTTATATTTTTATAGAGATGGGATTTCGTCATGTTGCCCAGGCTGGTCTTGAACTCCTGGGCTCAAGTGATCCTCCTGCTTTTGCCTCCCAAAGTGTGGGATTACAGGTGTGAGCCACCGTGCTCAGCCTAAAAAATTATTAGCCAGGTGTTATGACATGTGTCTGTAGTACCAGCTACTTGGGAGGCTGAGGTGGGAGGATTACTTGATCCCAGGAGTTCAAGGCTGCAGTGAGCTATGATCATGCCACTGCACTCCAGCCTGGATGAGAGAGTAAAACCCTGCTTCTAAAACCAAACCAAACTAGAGGGGCCCTACTGTAGAGGTAGAATCACATTGTGACAGTGAACCAGAAGAGTTTCTTGAATGTGGATGTGGGCCCACATGGATCTGGCCAGCCCAGCCCTGGCTTAGCAGCTCTCTGTCTCCAGGATGACCTTGTGCAGACCATTGGTGTGAGTGCAGCGCTAGGGGCAGCCGGCGTGGTGCTCTGGGGGGATCTGAGCCTCTCCAGCTCTGAGGTGATCACTGCCCCTTTGAGCCTGCCATGTAGCGCATGCTGGGGTCCCAGGGTAGAGGACGGCCATGTCAAGACTATAGAGCAGGCATACTGACACAACTCTTCCCTTCTCCTTAGGAGGAGTGCTGGCATCTCCATGACTACCTGGTGGACACCCTGGGACCCTATGTGATCAATGTGACCAGGGCAGCGATGGCCTGCAGTCACCAGCGGTGCCATGGTCACGGGCGCTGTGCCCGGCGAGATCCAGGACAGATGGAAGCCTTTCTACACCTGTGGCCAGACGGCAGCCTTGGAGATTGGAAGTCCTTCAGCTGCCACTGTTACTGTGGCTGGGCTGGCCCCACCTGCCAGGAGCCCAGGCTTGGGCCTAAAGAAGCAATATAAAGCCAGGGCCCCTGCCACTGCCTCTTCTTTTCCCTGCTGCCACTTTTCCAGTCCTGGAGCTACTCTGTCCCACTCTTGCTCTATTCAGTTTACAGTCAACCCTCCCAAGCACACACCCCGCTTCCCTTGGAATCCCTGAGGGGTAGAAGGGGCCAGAAAAAACGCTTATAAAACCAGAGGCCCTCTGAGATCATGTGACTCCTCCATGGCAAGGAAGCAGTTCCAGGGAGAGTCAGGTTCCAGCTAGTTAGGGCTGCCAGCCTAGGGCTTTGTGCCTACACCTCACTAGGCCCATGGAGAGGTCACAGAAGATGGGCCGTGCACGGGCAGATGGGCCCCCAAAAATCTTGGCTAAGGTCGGTAAAGTGTTAAGCTGTTGTCTGCACTGTTTCATCATAAAGTCACTTTTTTCCACTGCCTGAGGTTTGGCTGTTCCTCCTGTTATCCCAAGCTCTAAGCCCTTCCCATGGTCCCCAGACCCAGGGGCAGGGGTAGGACTCGTCGCGAGCGTCCCGCTGCCAAGTGCCCTGAGAAGCCAGTCCTGCCGTGGTGCTCCTGAGGGGCGCTTCGGAGGTTACGACTGTGCACCGAGGGAGCTGGGGCGCGCGCAGGGCATTGTGGGTGCATAGTTCAGCTAGCGCGTAGTCGGCTGGTGGGCCCCAGGCGTGGACTACCATTCCCGTGGTGCTCTGACGCGCAGCCAGCCGCCGTCACCTGCGCGCTCAGGCCCCTGGGATTAGTAGTTTTAGCCTCGTGGATGTGGGCCTGAATCGGATGGCCTGGAACTCGCCTTCCCGGCGACCTGTTTGGCAGGGGGTGGCGCCTCGCGAAGATGGTGGCTCGCGGGGCGTGTGGCGCCCGTCGTCTGGCCAAGTCTCAGCGCAGCGCACCGGCCGGCGTCTCGCTGCCCTGGAGCCCACACCCACCGGGTCCCTGACCCCGCGCTCCCCGCGCCCGGTTCCCGGCATGCCTCGCGCCCGTAAGGGCAACACGCTCCGGAAGGGTGGTCAGCGCCGTGGAGGAGGTGAGTGGGGTAGGGGGCGTGGGACAGCTGATGAGCGGCGGGTGGGGGTCCTGCTGGGTCCCCGTAGTTGTTCTCGAGGGCCCTGGGTGGGGAACCCCCTCGGCCAGCCCCGCGCAGCTTCCCAGAACTCTACCGAGGCTGGCACGTGCCCCAGCAGTCATTGGCCACGTGCGTGCTCAACTTGAGCTCGCTGCCCACTGCCTGTTGGGAGTCCGCGCTCCCAGCGGTGACCCGGCCAGCCTCTCCGGGCCTCAGTTTCCCCGTTGCCTCTCTGCCTCAGTTGCCTGCTGGGTGGGCAAACTCACCGGACAGAGCAGGAAGCCAGTCCCCTTGCCAAACCCTGATCCTTTCCTGGACTGGTCAAGGAAGTTGGCGGGAGTCCTGGCCTGCTCCGGTTAACAGAGGGAGGGGGATCTGTTGGGAAGCTACCTGATTAGAGCCTTGGCAGCTTGGCAGGCCTGACTCCACAAGGTGGCTGACTATCCTGGAGTCTGAGGCAGTCTTGGGACTCGCTTATCAGCTTAGACCAGGAGCCTGTCTTAATGCAGTAAACACTTATGTTTACTCTGCTGGGATGGGGTGTGTACGACGCACAAATTTATTTATTTTTATTTTTGAGGAGGAGGGGAGGACGGCTGATCACAGGAAGGAGGAAAATACCTAGGCATAACTTTAAACTGGTCACCACCATGGTGGGGTTTGGGTGGGGGACATCTAATAGGGTATAGAACATGTTCACTGAATGGTGTCAGCCCCAGACTTAGGACTCAGGGAGGCCTTGGGGGAGGTGCTTCTGGGTGAGTCCTGAGAAGATGGAGAAGAGAGCAAGTTGTGCAAAGTCTTGGCAGCTGGAGGGACCCCAGCACAGTGGAGTGAATGAGGGAAGGCTGGGCTGCTCTGGCAGGTAGGATAGTAAGATAAAATGGGAGCAGGCTGGGCGTGGTGGCTCACATCTGTAATCTCAGCACTTTGGGAGGCCAAGGCAGGCAGATCACCTGAGGCCAGGAGTTCGAGACCTGCCTGACCAACATGGAGAAACCCCATCTCTACTAAAAATACAAAATTAACTGGGTGTGGTGACGTATGCCTGTAATCCCAGCTACTCGGGAGGCTGAGGCAGGACAGTCACTGGAACCTGGAGGCGGAGGTTGTGGTAAGCTGAGATGACGTCATTGCACTCCAGCCTGGGCAACAAGAGCAAAACTCTCTCAGAAAAAAAAAAGGTGGTGGGGAGCAGAGGCCAATGTGTAGGCTGGACTTCCTCCTGCAGGTGAGAGGTGTGAGTAGTTCTTAGAATTAGGGGCAGCTTGGTGATCACACCCTGTCCAAAACTCTGCCACAGCAGCCACCCTTGCCAGTGTGAGCCCTTGTCCCTGGACAGAGCCCACACACAGGAGTGCACCAACCCTACTGACCTTTGGCTTTGGTTTTCCATCTCCGAGAGGAGCACCATTCTATCTTTTGGGATTATGAGGTTGGGTGAGGTACCCCCAGCCATCCCTCATCAGTAGAGGCAAGTTGAGTGTCCTATTCCACCTTCCCCAGGTGCCCGGAGCAGTGCCCAAGCTGACTCGGGTTCCAGTGATGATGAGGCAGCCAGTGAGGCCCGCAGCACCACCAGTGAATGCCCCAGCCTTCTCAGCACCACTGCAGAGGACAGCCTTGGTGAGAGCGGGTGGAAGTTTGACAGGGGCTTGGAGAGGGCTCCATGGGCTGCGCACAAGAAGCAGTGCTGACCAGGTGGCCTTCCAGGGGGGGATGTCGTGAATGAGCAGGGCCAGCAGGAAGACCTTGAGGAAAAGCTGAAGGAGTATGTGGACTGCCTCACAGACAAGAGGTACCCCTGGCTGCCAGCCAACTCCTACACCCAGCTCCAAGTGTAACCAAGGGAGGGCTGGCCTATATGACCCCCCTTCTCGACCTCCCCCAGTGCCAAGACCCGGCAGGGTGCTCTCGAGAGCCTGCGCCTGGCCCTGGCATCCCGCCTACTCCCCGACTTCTTGCTGGAGCGCCGCCTCACACTAGCTGATGCCCTGGAAAAGTGCCTCAAGAAAGGTTGGAGCTGGGGGTGCATGGGAGACTTAAACTGGGCAGACGCTGGCCCTTGCTGCATAGGCTGACTGGAAAGCATCCCACAGGGAAGGGAGAGGAACAAGCCCTGGCCGCTGCTGTGCTAGGTCTGCTCTGCGTGCAGCTGGGCCCCGGACCCAAGGGTGAGGAGCTGTTCCACAGCCTGCAGCCTCTGCTGGTCTCTGTGCTCAGTGACAGCACAGCTAGCCCTGCTGCCCGGCTCCACGTGAGTGTGCCTGTGCCCCATGAAACCCTTCCTGCACCTTATCCCTCAACAGAGTGCTGGGTTCCCCCTGTCTTCAGCCTCCCTTACTCTGAGGGGAGTGAGCTCCAGGGCTGGGAACCCAGATTCATCCGCTGACTGTGGCACAGCATTGCCCTTCTCCCAACAGTGTGCTTCTGCTCTTGGCCTGGGCTGCTACGTGGCTACTGCCGACATCCAGGTGAGTGGTCTTTGGGCACAGGTGGTAGAGCATCTAGGGCTGTAACTCTGCCTCTGAGCTCCCCTGCCTCCCTGTGTTCCTAGGATCTGGTCTCTTGCCTTGCCTGCTTAGAAAGTGTTTTCAGCCGGTTCTATGGCTTGGGCAGCTCCACAACTCCTGTGGTTCCTGCCAGCCTGCACGGCCTGCTCTGTGCTGCCCTGCAGGCCTGGGCATTGCTGCTCACCATCTGCCCCAGCACCCAAATCAGCCACATCCTTGACAGGTAGGGGTGGCTGTCCACTGGGATGGGGGGGGATCTCAAAAAGGCCCCCAACCCACACATACAGCTCAGCCTGCCCCTTCCCTAGGCAGCTGCCCCGGCTGCCCCAGCTCTTGTCCAGTGAAAGTGTGAACCTGCGGATCGCTGCCGGTGAAACCATTGCACTGCTCTTTGAGCTTGCCCGGGACCTTGAGGTGCGAGGGACAAGGATGGGGGGTGCTTGGTGATACCACCTGCCCATCACAGGCTGGATGCAGGGGGTGCCACAGAAAACAGAGCAGCTTTAGGTCATTATGCAGAGGAGGTGGCCCCAACACAGATTCATCTGCTAGATGTCATGATGGGTGCCCTGAGCAGCGGTGTCCTGGCCTGACAGACGCCCAGGAGGGGTCAAAGGGGCCAGGCAGAGAAGAGAGGGTCTTTCAGGGAAAGGATGGGTTTCGGCAGTGCCCTGTTCAGAGCCAGCAGAGCTCAAGCATCTACCTACCACACACCTTCCAACGCTCCCATTGCAGGAGGAGTTTGTTTATGAGGACATGGAGGCCCTCTGCAGTGTCCTGCGCACTCTGGCCACTGACAGTAACAAGTACCGTGCCAAGGCTGATCGCCGGCGCCAGCGCTCTACTTTCCGTGCCGTGCTGCACTCGGTGGAGGTGTGTGTGAGAACATATGTGTCCTAGTGAGGGTGCACTCCCAGGCATAGTAGCCAAGCCCAGTTGTGTTGGCCCCTGTACCCTGCAGGGCGGTGAATGTGAAGAAGAGATAGTGCGCTTCGGCTTTGAGGTGCTCTACATGGACAGCTGGGCTCGGCACCGGATCTACACTGCCTTCAAGGAAGTGCTGGGTTCAGGCATGCACCACCACCTCCAGGTGCGGGGATGCACAGGGAGGGGACACCTGGTGTGGCTGCTTCAGTCTGGCCTGAGCTCACTGCCCTCTGCCCCCCAGAACAATGAGCTACTCCGTGACATCTTTGGCCTGGGCCCTGTGCTGGTGCTGGATGCCACTGCCCTGAAGGCCTGCAAGGTTCCACGCTTCGAGAAGGTTTGCACCCTTGGGCACCTTTCTCTTCCCCCTATTCCCGTGTTTCCTAGAGGCCTGAAATTCTGCAGAGGCTGGAAGAGGACCCCCAGCCCTTTCCCTTCCCAGCTCCCCAAGGTGTCACTCTCTGTCCCCACTCTAGCACCTGTACAATGCTGCCGCCTTCAAAGCCCGGACCAAGGCTCGAAGCCGTGTGCGGGACAAGCGGGCAGACATCCTGTGAAGCAGGACCTGCTGAAGAGGAGACTTTCTATGCCCTTGGTCCGTATTTTTAACAGAAGACAGTGCAACAACTGGTCTCCACCAGTATTTGTCACTTTATTTTTTTAATGACAAAACCAAAAACAGACATGGGGTGGGTAGCTGGGGGCCCGGACACTTGGGACCCTGGCCCCTTTGTC